CAAAAAAAAAGAAAAAAGAAAAAGGAAACTATGAACATCTTCAAATTAACCTCTCTCGTCACCCCTTTCCTCTTTCCAACCCTGAAAATGGTATCCAAACTCTTTAAGAGTTCGGTGCAATTCTCATTGGAATCTCGAAAGGGCGGAATAGAAACGTTCATTTACATAATATCGTTTCCAAAGCGGTTCGCCATTAAATTCTATAATTAAAGAAAGATAAATTATTGATAACAAAAAAAAAAAAAAAGAAAACTATGAATTGGACATTCTCAAATTAACCCTTTCTTCTTTTCAACCCTGAAAATGATATCCAAACTCTTTAAGAGTTCGGTGCAATTCTCATTGGAATCTCGAAAGGGCGGAATAGAAATGTTCATTTACATATCGTTTCCAAAACGGTCAAACTCTCCGCCATTAAATCCTACAATTAAAGAAAGATAAATCGTTGATAACAAAAAAAAAAAAGAAAACTATGAATTGGACATTCTCAAATTAACCCTTTCTTCTTTTCAACCCTGAAAATGGTATCCAAACTCGCTTCGGCGCAATTCTCATCGGAATCCGGAGAGGGCGGAATAGAAACGTGCACGAGTCAATCGTGGCCGCTGTCACAAGTGGCGTGGATAAAAAGCGGCGTGGATCTCGTGGCGAGGGAGAGAGGGCACGCGGCCTAACAACAAGTTGAAAGAGGAGGCCGTGGTATGATCGTCTCACCCGCGGGAAGAGAAGAGGGCGCCTCAGAGACCAGGCATTTCGGCGTGTTTTCACTTTTTCGCGGATCCTCGGTCCGCGGTCGGAATGCCGCCACTTTGCGAAAATACCGGAGGAGAGAGAGAGAGAGAGAGAGAGAGATTGAAATCGTTCCACCTTGACTCTCGAACGCGTTCTTGCCGCCTTCTGCCCACCTGACTTTCATCAAACGAAACGCAGAGGGGAGGGGGTTCCATTCGTGCGAGATGAGATGACATCGTAAACTTTGGTTTAACGATGTTAATCGAGGAGATTAATTGTTTTAAAAGAAACGATTGGATCGATTTCTGGATATCTCGAGAGCGAGGTGGAATTTGAATTGAAGAATATGCTTCGCAAGGATGTTCCGAAAAGACAATAGGGGAAAGAGAGAGGGGAAAATTAGGCTAACGACTGTTTTGACAAAGACAGAAACTTAGATAGCGTGGATGGTTCTTCAAGTTAAGAGCGCTTCGCGTGGCCAAGATATACTCTTATTCCAAAGAAATGATAAAAACAAGATCTTAAAAGGGGAGAGTATGTTCTTGCCTCGACGATGATAAAAAGAGAATGCAGACACTACGATCTTCGAATAATTCAAACGCTCAAATTTAAGAACTGAAGTTCGAGTCAACAATGTTTAGATATCAAAGTTATATTTCGAAGAAAATTCCTTAATTCCATTAAGGTAAGATTAAAAAAAGAAAAAGAAAAATCGAAGCGTCAAAGTTGCTTCTTAATCGTATAAAAGAGAATTTGTTGCAATGACAAGTGTCGAGAAAAAAGTACGTGCTATCTTTGTCCAGCGTGGAGAAAACTAAGTCTCGTCGATTAATAAAATCCAAAGAAGCCCTCGATTAAAACAATTCAATTGCTTCGACATTGATTTCGAATAATTCTTGCTCAGCCTTTATTCCCATTCCGAAGAGGATTTTATTATTACAGGCGAAACAATCGACGATCGTTTAGCTTTTAATTTTTCCACACAGTGAAATTATGAAAGAAACGAAATCTCTCTCCCTCTCTTTTCTTCTAAGCTCGAATTAAGTTTGATACGCGTCTTTCTCAAGTTTGGAACATTCGAATCGTTTGAGTAACTCTTCGCAAACCAAATTTTTCTATCGACAATGGAGTTGGATAATAAAAGAAAAAAGAGTAAGAGAAGAAAAGAGAAGAAACCACCAGTTTAACCATCTCTATTCAAAATTCAATAACCAAGCAAGCGAGAAAGAAAGAAAGAAAGAAAGAAAGAAAGAAAGAAAGAAAGGAGAGGACAAAATAAAAGATAGAGGTAGTATAGTACTCCTCTAAGGAGGGGGTAAGGAAATTAAAATTCCAGCGCATCGGAGAGCTATAATCGGAACGTTCCAATTTACACTGTTCCCTCGACTCGTCGCCCCCGTTCTTTCTTCGCGGCGTGCGTGCCTCTTCCTTCCACAGCCGCGAAAA